CTCGGCATGGTCCTGCCGTGGGCAATGACAGGCTCCGGGGTGCAAATATCACTATTTACCTTCCCGGGAGCTTTGCACACAACTGCTGCCATTAGCCCATGCACCCCTCTGTTACACTTTGCCCTCGGCCAGACCTTTGCAGTTAACCAGTAACTGCCACCACCACTGAGAGGGACAGGAGGTTGGGGTGAGCCCTGAACCCTCTCATCCCCTGCCCAGACACCTCTGCCCTGGCCTGGTGGCCTTTGCCAGCCCCAGCCCAGCTTCATCTACCATTTATCTGACCCCCACATCCCCCCTCTATCCTGGTCCTTTCCTCCGGAGACATTTGTCCTTGTGCCAAAGCCTGACAGCACCTTTGCAATAGGAATAGACACCCTTGCGGGGGTTCAAAAATGCCCAATAAATAAATATACCATTTACCACACCTGATGTGAACCAGCTTTGGCATGTGGAACAGCCACCCTGGCAAGCACCGGAGCTGGGCAGCCACAACGTCCCCCAGGTGAGCTGGGCAGGGAGAGGGACAGGCACATCCCAGCACACTCACCTTCCACGGTGCAAACATCCACCTGGGACACGATGCCGGTGCCGTTCTCCTTGTCCGCGGGCCACCGGTAGGTGTAGAGGGACGTGTGTGTGGAGCCGGCGTCAAACACCAGCCCGTACTGGGGGCACAGAGGGGACACGGGGTCAAGGGGTGCAAACCAGCATCACCATCAGCATCACCCGCGCAGAGAGACTGAAGCTCCAGGAGAGCCAGCAGAGCTGCTGGCGAGCAGGGGGACCTCGAGTGGCCAAGCCAAGACTTTCACCAGGACAGAGAAATTCTGGTGATATTGCAGTCACCAGTCATTGTCACCAGGGGACAATGATCCACCCCAAGCCCTTGGAGCAGGCAGTGCTTTGTGATGAAAAGGCTTTATGTGCTGTAGGGCCACTCACAGTGATCAAACTCAGCCAGACCCTCCCAGCCTGTGTGGGGCTTTGCCCCACACCAGTGACAAACAGCACAGTCTGCCTGAAACCTGGGCAAAGTCTGATACCCAATGGGAGCCAGCACCCAAGGGAGAGCGGGTGGCTGGGCTCCTCCCAAGGACCCACCTTGGTGCTGGGGGGAAGAAACACATCCTTCACATTCACGACGCTCAGAACGAGGGCGATGATGCTGCAGACACAGGTGGCTGCCAGGAGACCTGCAACAGCCTTGGCTTTGGTGTCCATTCCTCCTCCAACCTGCAAGGATAGCCCCAGCCCCCAGCTCACACCTCAGCATTTGCAAAGGCAGTTTTGAAATGCAAATCCCATGGACGGATATGGGACCTGTCAAGATGGGCCTTTCCAATTCCCCAACAATGAAGCCATTCTGTGGTGCACAGCTGCTCTTATCATGGAATCATAAAATACATGTGTCAGAAGGAACATTTAAAACCCATCTAGTCCAAACTCCCTGCCATGGGCAGGGACACCTTCCACTAGCCCAGGTTGCTCCAAGCCCTGTCCAACCTGGCCTTGGACACTTCCAGGGATGGGGCAGTCACAGCTTCTCTGGGCAACCTGTGCCAGGGCCTCCCCACCCTTATTGCAAATAAATCTTTTAGATTAAAACCATCACCCCTTGTCCTATCACTAGAGGTTTCTCTAAAAGGTTTATCCCTGTCTTTCTTATAAATACCCTTTAAGCACTGAAAAGCCACAATAAGCTCTCCCTGGAGCCTTCTCTTCTCCAGGCTGAACACCCCCAGCTCTCTCAGCCTGTCTCCACAGCAGAGGTGCTCCAGCCCTCAGAGCATCTCCGTGGTCTCCTCTGGACCTGCTCCAACAGGGCTCTTGGCAGTCTCAGGGCTGGAATTCCCTGTGCTTCTGAGCATGCCTTCCTCAGAGGATTTTCAGCACATTTTTTTCAGCCCTTCCTTCTCACTTGTAGCCCCTCAGATCCCTCTGTGCCTGGACCCCAGCCCTCTGTCCTGCTCAAACTGCTGGCTGAGTGGCAGATCAGCATCTTCCTTCCCAGTAGGAGCACTGTGGGAAGCATGGCTGTGTCTGGCTGGAGTCCTAGTCTGGAAGGAGGACCATGCCCTGCCAGGTTCCCAGTGTGGCCAGAGCTGCACATCTCCAACACCCACACACTTGGGCCATCAGGTCACACCCACTGTCCAACAGGCCCAGCCTGTCCCTGAGAGGGTCCCCTCTGCTCTAGGCAGGAGAACAGTATCTCCAGCCATGTGTCTCCTGCCTGGTCCAGCTTTTCTCCACTCCTGCTGATGCTACAGCAGGTAAGACACACAGGCACAGCTCTGTGGTGATCCCCAAGCCTTTGCTGGGGGAGCCCCAAGGGCAGGCAGGAGGGCAGAGGCAGGCAGCTCCTGCCAATGTGGGCACACAGCCCACAGCCAGGCTGGCACGGCCACAGCAATGGTCCCTGGGAACAGGAGCAGGGCCTGCACCTCCCACTGGTCTGGCCAGAGGTCAGCTCCAGCAGAACCAGCCCCAAGACACCCATAAGAAGTTGCAGCAGAGAAGCAAAGCCAAAGTGGTTCCCTGTGACAGGCTCAGCACAGGGACAATGACACGTCCACATGCTCAGCACCCCACAGCTGGTCCGGATGGGCTTTTCTAAATGCACAGCTCTCCCTCCTGCCCTGCCCTGCCCCATGCCATGAGCTGCACAGGCAGGATGCCTGCCGGGAGCCAGGCTTTCCTGTCTTCGCACTCTGGCTGAACAGTGGGTGTCCTGAGAGTCCTGGGCACAATCACACCAGTGCTTTGGGTGGAACCTGGAGCTGTCAGTTGGCTACACAATTCTCCTGTGAGCGTATAAAACCTCTGATAAATATCCCTGTCTTTTTCCCAGGTCAGCAGAAAGGTAAGCTCAAAGGAGATGCTGATTCCTGTTTTGGAGTCAGTATCTCCAGTGATGAACAAGAGTGACCAATCTCCTGTGTGGCATGAGATGTACAACAATGAACAGCAGCCTCATGGGACATGGGACTACTGAAATCCCTTTTTGGACCTTATCCTACAGCCAGGAGCCCTTCCCTCAACAATAGCAATGTCCAGAAGAGATTATATGGAAGCAGCTGATGAACCCCTATCATAGAAACAGGGAAACATTAAGGTTGGAAAAGAACTCTTTGAGTCATCGAAGTTGTTATTGATTCGAAGTCATAGAGTCAAATCATTAACTCAGCCCCACCATGATCACCACTAAACCATCTGTCACATCTCCAGTCCTATCAGCCCTGCTAGAGTGTGCCCAGATATAACTGTGCTGTTGGAATGTGATTCATCTGCTCCAGGTAACAAACAAAGCAATAGCAAAAGTTCCCAGCCCAGCCCATATCCTGGAAAATTCTGTCCCAGGCACTGTGCGATGGAATTGGTGATAAACTGCATCATCTTGCACACGGGAGTGGTGGGAAATGGACTCCCCCTGCTCTGGTAGGGACTAATTCCCATTTTGACTGGGCAGCAGGCAACATCCAAAAGCAGCACAGAGCCGGCTCTCCCAGGGGCGAGAGCGGGGCATGGAGAGGGAGCCCAGCGAGAGGCGTATGAGAAGCTGATTGATCTGCCCAGCCTTTCCGTGGCACCCCAAGGCTGGCCAGCTCTGACACCTGCTCCCACCCCTGCAGGCTCAGTGAGCAGCAGGGATGGGAAGGTGGTGGCGACGCCTCCAGAGCTGCAGACAAGACACGATGCTGTGCAGTGCCTGTCTACTTCCACGTGGGGAAAGCTCCCAGCTGTGCCCAGCACCTGGGCCAGGGCTGCACTTGTATATGTACGACAGAGGGCTTGACAAACACCCGTGGGACATCCCTCGTCTGCAGCGCCCCTCGTGCACAGGGAACAGGGCCTCAGCATTTGGGAGGGAAGGCTCAGAGACGCTGCTGGATCTAAACCTCCTGTTGCTCAGGAAAACGAGGAGCTGACTTCTCCACCGGGCACGGTTCAGATTTGAAAGGCAAGAGGGCTCTGAAGGTTCTAAGAGGGTGGATGTGGATGCCGGGAGCATCTTTGCCAGGCAGAGCGGTCCCCTGCCTCCCGCCTCCCACCAGCGCTGGGGCTCGGCAGTGCCCTCCGTGCCCTGCCCGTGTCCTCTCCATGCCCCTCTGCCCCCCGCACCTGGGCACCACGAGTGGCCTCCCCAGCCCTCTCCTCCTGTCCCTCCAGCCCACGGAGCATGTTTCCCCTCGTACCGGCCCCCCAGGGCCCGCTCCCAGCCCAGCTCCATCGCGGGGCACCAGCCCTC